AAAGTCTCCATGCTAAATAACATAGCAGAGTTCCCAGAGGCACGCCTGTGAAGAGGCCCAAGAAGCCTTGAAAATCTCCCAAACAGTGAAAAGCCAAAGGCAGACAATGATGCCAGGGCCCAATTGTTTCCCAAATGTCCTTGAACCTCCACTTGAATTTCACTGTTTAAAAACTTTTCGGTCTATTCTTTTTTGGTCCAAAATAAATAACCTCATACTCATTCGCGTTGAAACTAGTCTGCTTCTGCTTTTCTCAGTCATTCAATCTCCCATTGGCACTTTGTAATTTTATGCTCCTGTCTGCATTACTTGCAATGTTGATAATTGTTGATTCATCAGCGAAACACGATTTACAACAAACTATGATACAGTTTGTTATAAAACAAGATAAAAGTTATGACACAGAATGAGGCCATTCAGCCCACAGTTATCCAAATCCCTCATAAATTAAACAATTAAATCCCACGAATGATAAGCAACAAATTAATTTGCATACATTGTGACACTGGTAGCCATTTCTGTAGATGAAAGAAAGCATATCAGTTCATCATATTATTCTCTGCTCCTTTTGGCCACACAGCACGAATCTAGCCGTGAGGTTATACAATCATAAACTGCAAGTTTTACTGATAAATTTTAATGTATAAAATGAAATTAAAATGGTTAATTGGACAGCTTAATGACTCTTTTTACATTAATGAGATGATATTTTCATTGGTGTTTCATAACTAAATTGAGAGCCTTCATTGTTTTGGATTATCCATTAGTACATTTTCTGTCACAGTCATATAATTATTGGCTAAATCAGTTAATATGATTTGGCTGGTTCTACGGGTTTTAACTAGTTCTGTTTCGTACTGAAATGGTAATCAAATGATGGAGATATCGGGAGTGGTTGTATTTGTACAAGGTTTCTGTCCCTTTCAAAGTACACGTCAGAAACAATTCAGCAAACTCTGTTTTTTGTCTCCAGACCATCATTCCCAAAATAAAACAGTGACTATTGTTGGAACTATATCATTGCTTGTAAAACTCTTTGCGATGTTTGGTGATCGAGAAAGGGGCACACAAATGCAAATCTTTCTTTCATATGATGCACAGTAACCGTGTGCGTTAAGTATAAAGACCTGTTTGCAATAGATATGTTATTGCTTTTGTCTTAATAAAAATATGTGGGCAGGTAATTGAGCAGTAAGAGTTTTATTGTTATGAGGAAACCTCATTGTTGAATTGTCGAGAACTGCAGTACCTTCATTGCTATGGAACAAACAAGCAAGCATTAAATGTGCCGCCGCTTTCAAACAGAGGGCCATTAGTACAATGTACCCAAGAATACAAAAAAATAGAGGTATAGAACTGAAAGATAATTGCAATTTTTGTAATGAACACTCCAGGCATTTCTGCCCTGTTCCTTTGTCACAGCAGATGTGTCACTGCTTGAAATGCAAAATGTCAAAGTCAGTAACGTTCATAAGTGGCTGTTGGCTTGCTCAGGGAGCTGGCTGGTTATGGCGTAAAGGGTATCACACTGACCAAATCCTCAATTTCCACAGCAATCACCCCAACGTCCACAAACAAAGCTGTGTTAGGACACTATTCAAACAGGCCACAACACACTGCAACATGCCAGAACTATGCAAGAAGGAGGAAGAGCATCTAAAAAAGGTATTTGCTAACAATGGATCCCAACAACTTTATCTGCAGGTGCCTACTAGATAGACAATGCCAAGAGAACACAGTATGCCCCAAGAAACTGGCCACACTACTCTATATCAAGAACATATCAGAACTGACGACAAGACTCCTACGACCACTAGGAATCATGGTAGCACACAAACCCACAGCCGCACTACGACAAACACTCACAAGGACCAAAGACCCCATACCCATGACATGCAGGACCAACGTAGTTTACAAAATACTTGCAATGACTGCAACAAACATTACATCAGCCAAAGCAGAAGGAAACTAACCACCAGGATACATGAACACCAGCTAGCAGTAAAACGACACAACAAACTTTCCCTCATCTCTGTGCACTCGGACAATGAAGGCCATCAATTTAACTCGGATAACGTGACCATCCTAGCTCAAGCCAATGACAGACATGCACGGGAATCCTAGAGGCCTGGTTTTCAACCTGTAATGCAATCAACAAACATGTGGAATCAGACTTCATTACAAGCTCATGCAGAACATAACTGGAAGTGACACAACTCAACTTAACAGACCAGATCATATAAATTCCAACAGAGTAGAACAACATTGCTACGTCAGAGGCCGCACTGATGATGTTCCCTAGCTTGGTGATGGATGATGTACGATAACCAGCCAGCTCGACAAGCAAGCCAACAACCTCATTCACAACCTGAGCTACCAATCTTCACAAGAACCTTAAATGTTCATCAGTCTTGGGGCCTTGGGTCTGATTGAATCCTGGTTGAATTTATACAATGTTGTTTTTCTTTCACTTTTGGCCTTGTTCCAGCGACGTTTTGCATTCCCCTCTTTCTTCACTTTGACTTCAGGTATATCTTCTGTTAATCTTTTTCTTCGTTTGCTGCCAATCCAATGTATCCAATAATTTAGAGAAGAATAATAAATCTTATTAACAAAGAGCTTTTAAAAATTTTCTTACAGAGCTGTTGAACAACTCAAATGTTTTAAGGCAGGATGTGGAGGAATTATTTGTGAATAAAATGTTATTGGAGCCAATTGACAGTTTTCTTTTTGCAGTGGCAGACTCATTCTCTTAACTTCGTAACGTCAATGTGTAGTATGGCATCTTGAAGCAGGAAATTGGTCAATGTCTAGCCACCGGCATAGAGACATGTTTGGGCAAAACTGTGAGTCACTTAACTGTGAACTCATCCACATTTTCCTTGTAAACCATAGCCTATATCAAATGTGAACTCTGACAACCAAACTCTATAGTATGAATGAAAATCTGACACATGTATTCTCTGTTCCATATGTGGTGTAAACAAAATAATAGCTGTTCTACAGATGTACCTCCAGAAGTGAAGATTTGGTGGTGGCTGTTAGTTTACTTGACATAAAACACAACATACAGATGGAAAGGGAAAAGAAAGCTGAGTGGTGCTTTATATCGCACACCTCAAAGTGTTTTACATAGGAATGGAAGAAAGCTATTCAGACCTCCAGCCTGTTCCACCATTTAATGAGATCAGGGTGATCTGTGTCTTAACTCCATTTATCTGTCTTTAGCCCATATCACTTGATACCTTTGCTTAACAAAAGAATGATCTATCTCAGATTTAAAATCAGCAACTGATCTAGCATCAACTGCTATTTGTGAAACAAGTTCCAAACATCCTCCAAGAAGTGCTTCCTATTATCTCTCCTGAATGGTCTGGCCCTCATTCTCAGACAATGTCCTCCAGTTCTGGAATCTCCAACAGTGGAAATAGTATATCTTTACCTACCCTATCTTTCCAAACAGTGGAAATAGTACATATTTATCTAGAGATAACACAGTATGGAGCTGGAGAAGCACAGCAGGCCGGGCAGCATCAGAGGAGGAGGAAAGTTGATGTTTCGGGTCAGGACCCTTCTTCAGATAACTTTATCGACCCTGTCTTTTCCTGTTAATATCTTGAAGACTTTAATCAGAACACTCCTTAACCTTCTAAATTCGAGGGAAAACAGGCCTAATTTGTAAAATTTCTCCCCATAACTTGACTCCTTAAGTTCAGGTATCATTGTTGTAAACCTACATTGTACTTCCTCCAAAGCCAATAGATCCTTCTAAAGATGTAGTGCCCAGCTTTATGCACAGTGCTTCAACTGGGATCTAATCACTTCTGCATCCTTGTACTCCAGTCTTTTAGATATAAATGCCAGTATTCTATTAGCCTTCTTGATTATTTTCATGGCATTTTAAAGATCTATGCACCTGAACCCCCAAGTCTTTTTGGACATCCACTGAATTTAACTTCATACCATCCAGAAAGTACCCTGATCTTTTTTTTCAGTCCAAAATGGATAACCTCCCACTTGCTTACATTGAACTCCATTTGCCACAGTTTTACCCTTTCACCTAGTCCATCAATATCGCTTTATAATTTTATGCCATCACCCACACTGTCTACATGTTGCCTAACTTTGTGTCATCAACAAATTTAGATGTATAACTTTCTATACCATTATCCCAGTCATAGAATCATTCTAGAATTGCTACAGTGTGGAAGCAATCCAATCGACTCATGTCTACACTGATGCTCCAAAAAGCATCCCACCCAGACCCACTCTATCTCTGAAACCCTGCATTTCGCATGGCTAACCCACCTAGCCTGTACATCCCTGGACACTATGGGCAATTTAGCATGGCCAATCCACTTAACCTTCGCATCTTTGGACTGTGGTAGGAAACTAGAGTACCCAGAGGAAACCCACACAGACACAGGGAGAATGTGCAAAAGCCATACAGACAGTTGCCCGAGACAGGAATTGAACTCACTGCTGTGAGGCAGCAGTGCTAACCACTGAGTCACAAGTTATTAATAAACAATGTGAATAATTGAGACACTAACACAGATCCTTGTGGGACACCACTGGTAACATCCTGTCAATTTGAGTATCTACTTATTATCTTTACTTTCTGTCACTTGCCACTCAACCAATTCCCCAGCCATGTCATATATTTGTGGTGTTGTCAGTGTTGCACGGTAGGAACGATAGTGTTGTTTCCTGGGTGAGTGGTGTATTTATTTCATAAATGTTGAATTTGTTTCAAAATAACTCTCGAACTCAACCACCACTGAGAAATAACAATTTTAAGTTTCCTTTTGGCTACTCTCTGGTTGTCGTGAGAAAAGGTGAGGACTAACTCCGTTTTGTTAAACATTTGCGGAAAGAGTCACCCATTTTTCGATGGATGGAGGGAAGCAAGACCCCGAGAAACCAACATGGATGTGGTATTGTCCCTTTAAAAGCACCTTGTGTCCTGTCCCAATCCCTCCATTGCGTCAAGAAGCAGAACAAATTGGATTCTAGAGACACGCGTGCGCACATGTGGCCGGCAGGCTGCGCACTTCAGGAGGGGTGTGTGGTTTTAGCATCGAGACTGGGTCAGAAAGTGAAACATTTCCAGCAAGTGGCGTTCCCACTTATTTACAGCAACACACGTAGGGAGTGCTGTGTGTGTGCCCCGTTAACTACCGGGAATCATGACGAGGAAGCAACTGCGAAGTGATAGAATGCACCGTTATTCCTTATCATAAAGTTTCGCGTCAATCTTTGGATCGTTTGAATACTTTCATGAGAGTGAGAACAAGAGGGGAAGCAATACTTTCTTCTTCTTAAGTTCTAGAGAAAAGAGAAAGTGTGATTTTGTTTAAAAAACAACCAGCTGCTTCGCCCTTTACATGAAGGAGTGAGAAGACGAAGGAGTCGCTTGTTGCCCTTTGATATAAAAGAGAAGGGGGTAGAGAGGGGAAGGAGGACGGTCTCGGAGAGACAAGCTAGGGAGGTGGGCGAGCAGAGGCGCCGAGCTCGGGGGAGGGGGCAGTGAGCGTCTGAGGCGGCCTGTGACATGGCGGCGGCGGCTGGAACAGGAGGGGTCAGCACCCTGCCCACTCTCTCCGATGCTGGCAGCAGCCCCTTCCCGCCTGGATCCTTCAAGGAGCCCAAAAGACTGTACTGTAAAAATGGGGGCTACTTCCTGAGGATCTTGCCGGACGGCAGAGTGGACGGAACCCGTGAGAAGAACGATGGCAACAGTGAGTGTTGCATGTTTCCATTTAACATTTTACTGAAAAGTTATTTTTCGTGTGTATTCTTTGTTATCTTATATCTAAGGCTTTCTTTTCTGTATTAGTACTTAACCATGTCAATTGTGAGATGTACATTCCATCTCCATTCATGTTCATCAGTTCGAAATCCCAATCCAGCAGTGATTGCTATGTAGTAATTACCTTTTAATTCCACCCAATTTTCATCTGGACCCAGTTGTAATTCATGATTTCGAATCTCGGCCTGACCACAGATTTCGCAAATAGTTTGTGTTTATAGATTTAGTTTAAACTACTAAAAGAAACTGTACACCCTTGTATATCTTGACACCACAGTATTTGCTTCGTCTTGGGAAGATATTCTTCAAAACCTTGTTGCTGCTTGACTGTTGTGGAGACAAGTTGCTCCGCTTTACCACGCCAATTCTACCATCGTGTAGACCTTTTGATTTGTCTTCTGTCAACCTTTTATCAGGTAGCTATCTTTTTGTACTTCATGACTCTAAAGTTTGTCAAAAAAAATTCCTCACTCGTCCGTTGAAAAGTATTTGGGGGTAGTTGTAAGATAGCTACAAGTAAAATAATATAATTACTCGCTCTCGCACCCCATAACGTCGTCTTTGCCAGCAAGAGATTATGGTATTCTTAAATTTTCTGTGAATCAAAGATAAATATTAACGGGTATCGCTTTCATATTAACAGTTAAACAGTAACAGTCTACCACTTTAAATAAAGTGCACAAGTACTCCATCTCTCACCACTCCCCAACCCCCACAATCACCTAATGTAAGTACTCAGAGATAATGTCTCCTGTAAATCTGCCCACTTTCTTGCATTCTCATATACATTTATTGTCTAATTTTCTTGCAGCACGACCTCATTCATCTTGCTTAATAAGCCCTGTAAATGCTATAGTCCGGGAAAGAAATGAACAGAATAACATTAGACTGTGTTGTTTCAGTACTTTTTTAAAAAACACGTTTAGTAATTATTAGTGGGAGTGGCAGGAATGCGATTAATACGTCAATTGATAGAACGCTTAAATATTAAACTAAAGTCTGCTGATCCCACTTCATTCGTCTCGGCTGAAGTAATTGCGATCGAAGACCAAAAATAAATTGGATAATCCCCAGTTTGGATGTCGCTTTATGAAATTCGTATCAGAAACATTAGCTAAAGTAAAATACGTGCACCTAGTTGGAACCGTATTACAACCACACACTGTTCAGCTCATGGGGGAGGGTAATCCAAACTTTATAGTTTAGATTTTGGTCATTGGTTTTTGTATTTTCCGGTTTCCTCTATTGTTACAAGATGCCTGTGCGTAATTGAAATGAATTGCTTCCTTCGGTTGTCAGATGTTTGTCTTTCTCCGCTAGAGTTCACATTGCAATAAGTTTGCATCATTTAGTGGCGGAAGTGTTATGACATTGACTGAGTTTTCTAATGTTGCACAGACTCACGGTTTTTTTACTTTCCTCCCACAACTCTTCAATTTTAGAGGTAGGCACTGAGGGACGGGCAACAGTTCACTGTAGAACGATGTAACTTGTGCTTTGCGTATTATTCTCGAAAGCGAATGAAAGGGTTATGTTGTCGGAAATCTCGATGAAGTTTCATGTTAATGAATAACGTTTGAAAGTGGGTAGCAACATCTGTTCTCTCTAAAACGGCATGCAGTACATTAAGCATTTTGACATGCTTGATGGAATTTGCTTTGCGTGCACAAATCGGCGAAACATTCTGATTAATCCTGGTGGAGATTTACCGGAGTATCGCTAAACTGCGGGGTAGGCATGTTGTAACTTTAAATTATTCACCTGTGGCAGACATCAGTGTCAGCATTCTAGGCAATGGCTAAACCTGTTTTCCTATGGATATTGGGTAGCTGGTAAAAATTACATCAACGATTTCAGGTAACATGAACCTATAGATATTTTGTAATCTGCCTGTTAAGAGATGTTACGACACACTTCTGGACCAGGTGGAACTTGAATCCGCTTCTCCTGGTTTAGTGGTAGGGACATTAGCCAGACGCTAGAAGACCCTAACATAAGCCTATACCAAAGCTGTGCTGATTTGTAAGATCTTTTAGCACAGCTTGTGAAAGGAATTTTTTTTTTTGAAGAAGTAAATTGTACAGTGAAATTTTCAATTACATTTCAATGGACAGTTGGTGTGCTGATAGCTAGCTAACGTTATGGCCTTCATACAAAACGATGAAAATTTTTAGTTTTACCGGAGACATATGGTTTATACTTTAAACAGTGTCTTGATTTAGCTTACTAGTATAAATGGCTAGAACCTTTGTCATTCCAGCTGTCACATGAATTCAAATTCGTGAAAAGCATCCAGTTTAGATATGTTTAATTTTGCAGGGTTAGCTTTGAAAATAGAACAGTTAGGTTGTAGTCAACAACCTGACAATATTATTGCATTATATATTGTAGCAACCACAAACCAAATGAACAGTAATATAACAACCACATATAGAACGGGCATACCACATGCAATGACGCCATCTCCTGACCTGCATTTTGTTTCATGGAAATGATTGTTAAATTGAGAACATATGGCAGTGTCAAAGAAGTGTTGTCATTGAAATTGAAGCAGCTATATAACTTTGATTTAACTCCTAACTAAATTGTACTGTATGCTATCATGTTGCATTTATAAGAAATATAACAAGGAGCAAGGAGTAGGATCCAACTTGTATTGCTATTCCTAAGTTGTATCAGATTCAAATAATTGAACACTTAAAGCTTTGTAAAGTATAATCAGTATCAAAAACCTGTACTTTATCCATATCGTAAATAAACATTAAGCTAAAAGAAAATTGCCCTGCAAGATTTGTTAAAAACGGAATAGTTTTAAAGTCTTTTTTTTTAAACATGTAATGCTGCAGTATTTTTCATATCTCACATATCTTTGAAAATAATTTAAGAGTGGTAGGAATTTGATTACTTAAGTTCACAGAACTTTATAGTGTGAATACCTTTTTTCTAAATGGATAAAACAATTGAAGTATCAGAATTGTATTTGCAAACCTATAGCAAAAGGCTGCATTCAAGATTTTTTAAACTCCACTTATAATATACATTGGCCCTGATGAGCACTTTTCACTAGTCAGTGTGATTTTTTTCATACCAGCACTGAAAATTTATACGTAACTGAAAGAACTACACATGGTGTCACATTTCAAAGCGTAGATTTTAGTTCTGGGCATTTGTATGCTTTCAAATACTTAACTACATAGAGTAACTCATTTACAATGTTCACGTTGAAATCTCAAGTAGTGTATTGTTTCATTTTGTATTGTAAGAAGTCAGCCTGAAAAGTTTTCAAATGGCTACAAGCATTGGGAAAATATCAAAAGTAAGACTTTTTTTTACATCCTGCCTTTTAGGCCACTTGATAAACAATATGGGTATTTGTGACACTCCAGTCAGTGGTCTTTTTAGGGTCTTAGGGGAACTGGTGTCAGAGGGTGTTATTTGAATTACACCCTGTGAAGACTCAACAGTAGGGTAAACCCCTCCACTGAAGTGTTACACCCATGGAGTTTCATTAGGAGCTGCAGAGTTGAAGTAGAAGGGAAGCAAAAGTTGTATGAGTATAAAATTAAGGGGGAAAACAAAAAATAAATAATGTGTATTTATATCGCAACTTTCATGATTTTAGTTTGTCCCAAATTGCTTGCAAGCTCTTTTTATCGTTTTGAGCTAACTTCGCAGTGACAAATGAGACAGAAATTTATTAATAACCATGAGACAAAAACAAGTAGTAGAACATGATCTGTTGTTTTACAGTGATGGGTAATTGCTGTAGTAGGTCAATGGGAAACATTTTAAAAACTGCACACTGATATTACGTAACTACTTGAGCAATTATCACTGAGACTGTGAGCATTTGATGACAAATAAAAACTGCACTGAAGTACACTATACATATATTTAATAGAAAACCTCCATTTGACATTGAAAGAAATTTTTTTCCCAAATGTTATTCAATTCTTCAAATAATGTTGTGTGTAGCTACTTTTTCTTTACAAAAAAAATGAAATGAATGTGGGGAAGGGAGGGATTTGTCTTGATGGTTTCTCTGATAATTTTGTGCAACATCATGGACCAAAGGGTCTGGAATGTGAATAACTAGCAACCTTAATAAGCTCTGTGAGTTGAGGCAAAAGCAAAAGTTTAAATGTTGGGTGAGTTTTTAATGTGTTGAATACTCTCTAGAGAACTTTGTCCAGTAAATAAAATTAGAAATGCATAGTTAGATTTTTAATAGAAAGCTCTAGCAAGCATTTTTCTCATTTTTTGGGGGGGTTTCTCTGCTCACTGCTGTAGCTGCAGTAATCGAGAGCTATTGTGAGTACAGAATTCTTTTTTAACATATCTAATGGGATTAAATATCTCCATATAAAACCTTTTTTATTTTAAGATACAATTCATTAACACTCACTTGGGAGCCTTTTCAAGGAGCAACTTTTTTTTCAAAACTCCAATTTGAATGAGTTGAGTTGGGAAAAATTCTCCCTCCCTCTGGGTAGACTTTTTTTCCACCTAAGTGTTGCCAATAAAATATACGGTTTGTCGTTATATAAGACTGCAGGCTACTTACTGCCAATCTTCAAGGATTTCATAGTTTCTTCATTCTGACTGGTTTGCAGTGATATAGCTTGTAATATGATAGAATATTACTAAATGTGATTTCACCCAGATATTTTGAGATTCTACTAATTTATAATGGTGCATCAGTTTATCAATTTTATGTGGAATGGTTTGTTGGTATTTGTTCCACTGCTGCAGAACTCCTTTGCTAGTAAGTCTGTCATGCAAACAAGCTGAGGGAAGTTTCTCAAAATATGGAGGTGGATATCTATATACAATACTGATTTTTATTACATTAGTTCAGAGCTGAAAAGTATTGTAGAGTAATAAGAATCCATATCAAAAACTAAAATGTTGGAAATACTCCTATGCACT